AATAATAAAGAAAAAAATAAAAATAATGATTAGCATGTAATTACTGCATTGAAAACCCTTACTGACTCAACCCCTCAAAAGTGCTACTCACATTAATGTTTTACAACAGTTTTAAAGAACAATTATTCATGTTCAACTTTTCAAGGGAACAGAACACTGGAAAAGGGAGCAGGACTCCAAAAAAATTTTGTCAGACTAGTCAATTAATGTCAACAAGGACATTTAATTCTTCAAGAATATTAACCTGTATTTTTATTATCACCGTAAAACCCTAAAGTGAAATGGATTCTGTAAACTAGTAGGTTATTTCTTTCACACTGTTACCAATTTCATCCAGAGAATAAATATGCTACCTTTCAAGTAAAAGTGAGACATGGCTGTTACAAATAAAGTACATTTATTAATCATGAAAACTTCTTTAACATTTTCAAGTCATTATCTCGCGTACCATGAACTACTTATCTACACACTGAAACTTTAGTGCTTATAGTCTAAATCTCAAATAATCACTGTGAAGATAGAATATTATCAAACTGTAAGACCTAGATAATGCACTTCTCTTTCTTGCCCTTTAGTTCTTCATGTGTCAGCTGAAGCGTAGTTTATCCACTGACTTAGTGGGAGTCAAGTAACTGAATCACTGAAATTCTGAGCTCTTCTTCAAACTCAGCACCTTATTTCCTGTGTGATTTCAGACATATCCCTTAATCTTTCTTGACTCCATTTTCTCTTTTAAAGTATCAGCTGTAAACCATTCCCTTATTTTCTTTCTTTCACAGAGATGACTGCTGTTCTAGCATCTTTACATATCTGATACTGAAATACAGACTTGCAAAGAATGTTATACTGCACACTGAAGGTATGTTTGTGCAGAAATACCTGAGGTAGCATGGATGGAGATATCAGGCTTAGATAACAGTCTAATTACGATTGCATGGAAATAAATCTCCAGGGAAGAGCACATGAATCAAATCTGCTACAGTTTCTACACTATAGATACTCCAGCTAAATGGAACAGAGGATGAAACTGATTAGTCCACTATACGTGTAAATAAATAATAAGAATACAGATATCTGAAAAAGTGAAGTATAATCAAATATTTCTAAGAAGGCTGCAAAAAAATGAGAAAGATTTGGCAAAACTATATAGATGAACATGAAACAGAAGAATGAAAATTTTTGCTTAGACATAATGTGTGATTTATAATAGAAACTAATAATAAAAGCCTGTATTATTCATTCCACAAATGGTATATATTCATCTCCAGATACCCCTACATTAGAACAAAAACCAGAAGCTAATGGAAAGAAAAAATTTACATGCATGTGACAGTCAAAAACTGAAAAGTCTAGCAATATATATTTCAGATAAAAGTTACATGATATGAAAACATAAACATTCACAGTATTTTAAGATTAAAACGAAACCTACTTTCCATCTACTTTCTTATAATGATAAAAAGGAACAGTTCCTAAAACTGCTCAATATGAGAAAGAAGTATAAAAAGCAAAATAAAAACAATTTTGATAGCGATCAGAGGAACTCCCTGTTGAAAAATATTACTCAGGCCATGAAGAAGGGTTATGGCTTGTAATAATTTAAATTCTTTTTTATTGTTACCTTTCAGAAAGTCACATTTTAAAGCACATGCTAACTATTAACTGTTAGAATCATGGATAAGTATCTGCTATAGATCTCCCATGGGTTTTTTGTTAGTGTGTTGGAGTTTTTTTCTTCCTTCGAGATATGGGACATTAGGCACTGTCATAAAAAGAACACTATGACTAAAAGACAAATTCATTTACCATGGTAATGTATTTTCTCTTGAAACACAAATATGAATGTAATAAGAATGTCCTTGAGAAAATTATTGTTAAATTCACATTAAGATAATGCCATCTTAAAAGCATAATAAGAGAAAAAGGCTACACATATGAGCAGAATTCCTTGTAAGGAAAGCTCCGAGGGCAGGGGATAAATTAACTCAGAAGTTACTTATAGTTCTGCAGATTTTACTAATTAACAAGATCTTTGCATTCTGAATTTTCACAGTCAATCTGCTAACACTTTTTTTCTTCTGGTTTTTTTTGTTTTTTTTTTTTTTTTTTTTTTCTTTTCCTCCTGCATCTGACACCATAGCTAATCATCAGAACAAAACTTCAATATACATTTGACAGTCATGTTGGCTGGTAGGCAATATACAGAGTATTCCTAAAAAACTCCTCTGCTGGCTGTTTCATTACAGCATTTTATCCTGCCTGAGCAAGTAAAAAGAAGCCTCTTAACAGCAAACAGAAAATTGAATTTCATATTTACTTTTGTAGTGAACTCAACCTTCTTACATTTGTCTTAACTGTAAAAACTATGGGGTTTTTTGTTAACTTATCTTGTACAAAAATGTATCAAACATATCAGGAGGGTTATCATACTGTGCTGAAAATTATCTTTTCAAATTTTAAAATGAAACACAAAACAATGGTTCTAATTATATTGTTTTTCATCCCAACTGAAATTAAATTATAAATATCTGAAGTAATAACAATTAAAAACTAAGATAGCTTTCAAAGTGCCTTTTCCATGGATAATCTGAAGGAAAATCCAGTATAAATTCTGATTAAAACTTAATCAAGCTAAACACTGTATCTTACCTAGATTTCAATTAAATGTGATGAATAAGCACTAGATAGATTTCAATTCCAATTCTATTTCTGTCAGAATTATCCATTAATGTTGAAGATTATATTATCAGAATTTGACCAATATAATTTTGCTTCAAATAGTTAAAATACAAGTGGACTTAAAAATCCAGTCACAGAAAACTCTCACTCCAATGTCAGATACTACATATATGAAGTAACAAAAGTACATTAATTTTATCCTGTTCCATCATTATTTATGGATTATTGGTAACAAATTTCTAGAGGCAGATTACATGCCACTGTGGAAATCTAGTTTTTAAAATGTGACAGAGAAATCCAGAAGTCCATAGAGCATAACCTTCAGCAAACTGTCAACAACCTTTCAAAGGTCTCAATTCAAGTAGAAGGAATCCTTGACTATTATAAGCAAGTCCTGCCATACAATTTTCGTCATGATACTTTTGTTTTCAATTGCTTATTCATTTAATATTATACATGTTTACATGTTTTTTATCTATACCATATTATTTTTAAAACTGAATCAAATTCATCTTAGCTAAATAATGATAATCTTTCAAAAAATTAAAGTATTATTTTAAATACTTCAACTATTAGAATGCAATGTCAGTTTCAACATCAACTAAAAAATATTAAATAAACTGGTTTGTTTTAGTTTTTCACATCACTCAAGCAATTCCATTTTCAATTACAACTCAGTAAATGTGGTTATTTTCATTGACTACAGAGTACATTAAAAATTATGTTCAATTATGGCTATCCAGTTTTTTGGTTCAAACGCACTTCATGCTTTCTGAATTCTGAATTTAATGTCCACCAATGAACTACACTGTTTTATGTCCACGGGAATGAGAAAGTTATTTAGTTATTAACTGCAAAAACTAACTATGAACCAAACAATAAGATAATAACCCTAATTTAGATGTAACATCTATTAGTCTTTATTCTGATATTTTTCTAGTAATGATGGCTTTCTTCCCCATCACTCAACTATAAAAAGGAAATATAAAGATATATATTCACACAAACAACCAAACAGAATGTGTACACACACACTTATATATAACCTAACATATCTTATGTTTCACTGGATAATACCATCTTACTTTTTTATTACTTACTCATTTATTGGGGGAATTCGCATTATACTAAAATATAATAATGTTGCAGACATTATTCAGTCATTTTTACTAGACTTGGTAATACCTTACCACATAGAGCAAAATACTTTTATTGGGTCAATATGTCTATCTCAGTAAAGAGAAAAAGCAAATAACAATTAACCAGTGCTCTAGCTTCTGAAAAACTGAATTTTTTTAGCCAAATTCATTCATCCAATTTATACCAGTGAATACACCACCCCTATTCCATATATCCAACAATTCCAACTGGATTAGCAAACCCATTATTTCATTGGCTAGTAAAAAATCTGTATATTTTGACATACAATAATTTATGTTATTGTTTATGGGCAAATTGAAACACAATGAAGTCAGTGCCTGACTTCACCAAATTTTAGATTACAGCCAATAAGTTAAATGCAGTAAATGAATTAGTGTTTATATATTTCAAATTCAAAAGATTTTTTTCAAGTCTAGATTTTTTTAGATAAAACGAAAAACAGAAGTTGTGAATTAAATTACACTTATTTTGTAATTGACTTAAATATTTAATATTAATTTAATAGACTGTAATATAAGGTTTCAACATTTTCCCCTTCTACAAAAATAGATGCTGAAATTTAAATTAGATGTTCTAAAAGTATTGTATAAAATAAAGTGTGAAGAAAAGGGAAGGAATATCTTTCTTAACTAAATACTAAGAATGGACTTGACATTCACTCAGTGTTGTTTTGGAAACAAGCTATACAATATTTTGGGGGAAAGGCAATTCTCTTGAGTGGAGTTTTAAAATTCTACTATATTTTTACTGATGCTCTACATTCTGGGAAGTTTCCTAAGTAGTTTTTGAACAACAGTAAAAACAAACAAACAAACAAACAAAAAAAGAATAGGAAAAGAGGATATATAGTTCTTTTATTTAAAATGGAAAATAAGGAATTTAATTCAATTACCATTTCCCCAGATCTCTATGGGTACTTTTTAAATGTTTTAACTGCTTCTGCAGAATAGTTTTTAAATCGTATAAAGAGAAGAAGATTCTGGGTTTATTAGTAGTCTTATGTCCCATTATTTTGTATATCTGTATTTTAACAATCTTTAAAATAATTACAATTTTAACTATTTAATATATTTATTTATTTATTGGACTGACCTTTCAAAAGTCTACTTAGAATCACTTGCTAGTGAGATTATGTGTGTGAATGTTGTGTTTGCCCCTACCATTTTCCATATGCTCTGCCTCACCAACACTGCCATCCGGCGTAGTCCTTTCGTAGTTGTCCTCTGGGAGTGGAAGGGCACCCAGTCTTGGCCCTGATGAACTCTTACTGCTTGGTGTTTCTGACTCCTCCAGACCGCTGTCATAGCAACTCTGCAAAGACCCTTGATGTGGGTCCTGAGGCTGACTCACAACAGAAAACGTCACTCTACGAAATGGCTGCAAGAGAAAAGATTCTGAATGTCACTGAAACGTTCAGTCTATGAACAACTGATTCTCAAAACATGACTTAAGCAAACTAATATTTAAACATTTACTTATTAAACAATTTTGTCTAAATTAAATCAAACAGTAAGTACAGTCCTTAAAATGCCACTGGACACAACGTCTGGGGACTTTCAGTGTTATAGACAGTCCAGAACCGTCATGCAGTTTTGAACAGCCTCCTTTCAAACATTTGCATGAGCTAGGCAAACTACTTTATAATTGTTTATAAATTATATTCAGCTTTTCTTTTACTCAGTAGTAACAATTGGAATGGAGATCAATCAGACTGCATAAAGGTACTCGACATTGTGTGAATGCATACATATAAGAGAGTTTGGGGATGTGTATAAATGCTCACATGCATATAAACAATATTGTTTTTAGCAACATAGCAGCACACTCATAAGCATTTTCCAAATTCACTTCCTTGAGTTTGAGATGCTAATTGAAATCAGAAAGTAAAAACAAAAACAAAAACAAAATGGAGGGGGGGAAGAGGGGTCAGGAGGAGTTTGGTTTCATAGCTTCCATAAAGCATGCCTGGAGATAGATGGTGTTGCCAGATTGCCAGATGACTTTATAATGAAGACTTTAAAGTATTGCAAACACAGCTGACACAGCCTGTTTACACTGGGACTGTGCAAATGTAGATCATTATAGATTTGTATTCATTTAACATGACAGATACAAATGTTGCTCAAGAAGTCAAAATGCTGAATTCAAAAATCAGTGAATATTCTAGAAAGTGGGAGAGTAGATCATTCACTTTTCTGAGGACAGTGAAGGCAGGTAGGATTTTCATTAAGAAATCTATGGATTCTCCTACAATTTAAACTGCACTTGCATTACAGCAGTAATAATGCATTTGAAATAATTTTATGATACATTTAAAATAATTTACTGACTAGAAAGACTAGAAAATTACAGAAAAGCATCTGATATTCTAATACAGGACCTAATTTTACTGTATAGATCTGTATGTCCAAATACGTATATATATATTTATATGTATATATATATATATTAAAAATGTGTGCATGCTGGTATATATATATTGTAGAACACATGTTCTAAAATAAACACTGACAGATCTGTTTTACAGAACACTATGTAGAGTTTCCTATGTATAGGAAGTGAGGTCTGAGAGAACCTCCTATCATATTCAGATGTGTTTCCAGATCTCTGTTACAATGACCTGGCTATTAATCATCCCCACTGGCACCTCTGGTTACTATAGGGTAGAAACATGTATGCAGGCCAGAAGAGAGGAAACACTAATTACAGACACTTATGCTAGTCCTATACAACAGAAGATCATGTTAGATTTACAAGTAGAGGGCTGGAGTTTCACTTGGAATTAATATTTGTTACTTTTTTCTTTTTTTTTTTTTTTTTTTGAAAATATAATGTAATATTTAATGCTGAAGACAAATATTTAGGACCAAAAAAAAAAAAAAGATAACAAAAACTAAGCCTTCCTGACACAAGTAGATCAGAAGCTTATACATGTGAGTGCTACTATTCTACTGGTAAGTCTCTGACCTTTTAAAGATCCCTATTCTTCAAATGGAAAGTGCTTTCACAGCAGTTTTATTTAATGCTTCATGCTATATCAAATGCAAGGACAATAGAGAAGCACAGTAAAACAGAAGAATGGAGAGAACAAATAACGCATATTAAAAGAGCGCATTAAAAATAGTTTCGTCTTGTTGCTCCTTTCACTGAACTAAGAGGAAATAGTATAAACCATAGAGGACAACTGCAACTGCTATGTTAAGATTCTAGATGTACAACACATAATTTGAATATTTTTCCCCATAGTTTCTTAGTAAGATCTTTCTCTTCCACAATTATTCAGAAGGGTGCCATTTGCTCACCTAAAACCTTTAACAATGGTTTTAAATCATGAAGCCATTTTGCAACAGTCTGTACTACAGAATAACTGTCATTTGCATTGCGCTTTCATATTTTAATAGATTGTGTATTGTATAATTGACCATTTACACACACTAAATTACCTCAGAGAAATAACTAAATGAATATACTGTATCATCATGGTTTTAGAGGTGAGCAACTGACTTTCTTTTGTCATTTTTGTTGTTCTTTTAATTATGGAAGCCGTCATTTCTTTTCTCGTACTTTGCAAAAGTGGACTTCTAAGTACATTAAAAGGTGCTGGACAGAGACAGTATTTCATATGTATCAAGAGGCTCTGTTGTTTTTTTTTCCAATATGACTATTTTGTTATCAGCCCACTAATTCTGACAATTAGTCACAGAACTACAGTTCTGTGACTGCACGCAGAGCTAAAGTCCTTCCTGCTTGTTTCCCAGTCCGCATCAAATTATGCACATATGGCATGCTTGAGGCAGCCCTGCTTTCATCTTGTTTTATTATTATAGTAGTGTCTCTTGGAACCACAGCCCTGCACTCATTGCTGTCCATCTCTGCCCATCACTTCCTTATTTGACTGTGAGTTTTACTTTCCTTCCACAGCCATTCCTAGTTTAAGGATCTAAAAGCAAAAATTCTTTGCAACAAGACCAGTTGTTGACCCACATGATCTATGTTAGGATTCAAGAGACACCATTTAATCCACATGCTCTTCCTCTTCTGGCTAGCCTTGATACAGTCAACATGTCCTCAGAAACTGCCACTGATGCTTAGATGAATGAGAAGGATAATAGTGTGAGGGATGAATAAGCCTCAGGAGGTTCTTCAAAACATCCTGCATCTGAGCACCTGGCAAACTGCACGCATGCCTACATATCAGGTCAGATCAGCAAATGGGACTCCTCACAAGAGGGCTTCTCTCTCTAATGCCTCATAAGGCAAATTTTTCACCCCATTTACCCCCAAAAGCAAATGAAGAGTTATCTGCCCTGTGTTACAAGAAGTCACAAATCTACAGTCTTCCCCTTCTTAGCAGTCTCTCAAGTGAGCACACTGGCTCTTATACCTTCTGTTAAGTCAGGGATTCAGGCCCTATGGGTGATATATATGTATGGGTATACATACTATATTTGTATTAATATAATAGTATTTATATCTAATAAATACATATGCTTGGTGGTAGAAATCTGCTTTCACTTAAAACAGCTGAGTATGTAAGCAATATCCATATGCTTGTTCTTGACAGAAAATTGCATTTTTATTTTAAACAAGTTCTAGTATAAAACACACCTCTTATCTTTGAAAAGGAATGGTAAAATATATTGTGGAATCATTCATACAAGCGAAAGTAATTTGTATGTTCTTTCTCATATTGTCTACTATAACATAGTAGTAAGCATACGTAATACGTACTAGTAAGTACATACACATTACAGAAAAATTTGAAACAAATTCAGCATGATAGAAACACGTTAAAGACCATCTATTTCTAAGCATTTTATTGAAGTTCCATTTTAAGAAGATTTCTATTACTGAAAATTCATGATAGCTAATATATATATTAAAATGAATTCTAAATTTCCACTTGTTCAAGATATGATAGTATCACTTGATAAATAACCCTAGTGGCTGTTATTTTGTTCAGTCCATGGGCTACAAACTCTCTGATTGACCAAAACTTCATGTAATGAAACTCTGAATACTGTAGCTACACATCAACTACTACTAAGTTCTAAACCAATGATACAAACTTTGTGAACTTCTCACAATTTGGATATACTTATTCCTTATCCCATAGGTTACTTCTGAATATCATACTATAACTCAGACAATAAATTAATTGCTAGAGATACTGTGCACTCATTAGAAAACTTGCAAATTAAGGAGGCAGATTTCATAATTTCCCACAGATTGCTTTGTTTGTCTGTTAACAAGCCTCTCTGAGAAAACATTAAAGGATCTATTTGGAAGGCCCTACAGATCTATCTATATATAGCCATATGGTAATCTGATAACTATCACACTCTCAGTAAACTAGAGGAAATAGTTTAGCAGTCACTATTTAAACGATGCTAAGGGCTTTTTTATACAGATTACCAGTGAAATAGTAAAAGCAATGCACCGTAACACAGAGCTAAACTCAATGGAACCCATTCTTAAAATAGGAAGATCCTGCCCTTTATTCAGGTTACTCCTAGGAAAATGCATCTTCAGCTCTATCTGTAGATAACTAGAGAGTGACACTTAGAGACCCTGGGGACTTTCAAGAATTCAAAGGTGGGATGCAAAGACTATCATTCACATATACCACACATCTGAATGGAGGAGATAAAAACCTCCTTTTCCAAATACAATCACTTGCCTGGGGTCATCATGTAGCCAAGGCATGCTGAGCCACAAACATTCTGCATCATCCACAGTTATTACAAGAAACTGAGATTCAACTTAAAATTGGAATTAAAAGAAATTTTCAGAAAGCTAAGCATTTATGTTCTCTTTACTACTTGATGAATGATATGCATATCAATTGTATTTTACTTCTACTGCCAGTACAAATATTACAATTCTAACCTCTATATCATTTAGATCTCAGTCCATAAAACTTTTGAGAAAACTGTGTACTAATGAGATGAACTAAAGAAATGGAAGTTGGATATCAGGACTAATATTTCAAACAGATGTTCATCATAATTGCAAAAATAGAAACCCACACTTTAACCAGGAGTAACAAACTATATTCTTAATTTTGTGTTTCCATTGATAACATTATGTCAGTAACATTCCACAGAAAAGCAGCCACAGGAAATTTCCAAGTGCTGACAAAATAAGGACTTGCCCACAAGAAGAGAGGAGAGAGTTATGTGGGTTATGTTTAGCTTTGTCTATTTTCAGTGCACAATATTAACATAGCTCCATCTGCCAGTACTGTGAATCAATGTGGTAAAATTGCCTTTACCCAAATAAGCCTGCCTTTCCCAGGAAAACGGCAATCCTTAGCCTTTACTAGTACCACAACAATCTTTACTTAGGATAGTCCTTAGTGCTGGATTCACAGCACA